ATGCATTTCTATTTGGATCTGCTGGTGAAGCATTTCCTCGTGCAGAATAAGTTTCTTTTTCACATAGATTTGACCAGTGTGGTGTGAACTTCTCACTCCCAGCTCTAGGTATTTTTCAGGCCTGTGGTAGAGACTGTTATTACCTGTAATGGCAAAATTTTCTTTTTAAAATATCTGAAGCTCAAATAAGATGCTGAAATGATGAGTTAAATGTCTATTTACCCTGCAATATCTCAGTGTGCCAAAGACATGAGAATCCAGAGTAATGCAGTTTTATCCTCTATACATAATAATTGTTAATATCCATAAGTTAAATTTTGGTCTCATCTTACCAGAGCAGCCCTTTCTGCAGGATGTGTCCCCGTATGCCCTAAAATAAACTTTACTTTATTGTTGACCTAGATATTAGGACTACATTAATCCTCTGCCCTGTCAGCAATATTCATTCATGTGAAGTGGAATAAAAACACACACATCTCATTTGCTTCATAAAAACCTATGGAAGCCTGTTTCTGCCACTCTGTTAAAATAATATATTAATATATATATATTTATAATATATATAATAAAATAATTTATCTCATTATAATGCGATACTATCTCAAAATAGTATAAAATAATTTAGTATGTCATTATTTTGAGATAGTAAACTAACTTTGAGTTACTTTATATACTTTATTATAATGAAATAGCTTCTCATTATAATGAGATAGTATCTGATTATAGTAGTAATTTTATAACTCAAAATATTAATATAATATTTTTAGTCAAAAAAAATGAGATAGTATCTCATTATAATGAGATAATTTTATTTTTTTTCACAGTGGCAGAAACCGGCCTCCATAAAAAGCTGCACTATTTATTAAAGTTTGTTATTTTTTTAGTTTTTTAAGAGCCTGAATACAGAGAAAAACATCAGAAATAAAACTTTCCAGATTTCTTCGTGTATTTTAAACCTCCAGTGAATTGTCTGGCGGCAGTAATAAACTCAGAGCTACAGCAGCTCGCGCTTCTATTCTCACATTTGAGTTGCCATGGTTTCACTTTACGCGCGCGTGCACCCGAGCGCGCTCGCGCTGGTCATTGTGTTTTTTTTCTATTAGCAGGAGAGAAGCGGGGCCTTGGCTGGATAACGGAGCGGGCGGCCAGCTGGATAACGGCCAATAAAAACCATGGCGGACGAACAGGAAATAATGTGCAAACTGGAGAATATCTTGGAAATACGGTAAAGCTCGGATGGAGCTTCTGAATGTTTTCCAGCTGCTGCTTATAGACGTTAAGTTAGCTGCTGTTAGCTAGCTGTAGCCCCTCCCCCTGGCTTCGCTTTGTTTCCATCCTCAGCAGCAGAAGCCGCTCTGCTCTCAATCACTGCCTTTAGCTGCTTTTAGCTGCTTTAACCATCATTATCCTGCTGCTAAAGCTAATTATGCAACAAACTAACAAACACGGAATGCTGGCGGTATTTAAAGCGCTTTCTGGGTGGTGAACGACAATCCCAGATGTGTCAACAAATGCAGATGTTTCTGCTAAGCTGCCTTAGCTTAGCTTAGCCTAGCCGTTTGTGAAGCTAAGCTATATTTCTGCTGATTTAGCGAGAAAAAAAAGTCATTTTTTCACTCTTTCATTCATTTATAATAATCTTACTTTGTTAAGTAAATAGTTTTGGAGCTACAAATTTAGTTTATAAATTAAATATTTAGATTTAAAAAATAAATATTTAGCTCAAAATAAAATATTTAACAAACTAAATATTTAGCTAGCTCCAAGCTATTTAAATATAAATAGCTAAGTAAACTAAATATTTAGTTGGCTAAATATTTAAATGGATAAATAAACTAAATATTTTTCTATCTAAATATTTAAATGGATAAAAAAAATAGCAATTTTTAATCTGCAAACTAAATATTTAGCTAGCTCCAAGCTATTTAAATATAACTAGCTAAATAAGCTAAATATTTAGTTGGCTAAATATTTAAATGGCTAAATAAACTAAATATTTTCCTATCTAAATAATTAAATGGATAAAAAAAATAGCATTTTTAAATTTGCAAACTAAATATTTCTTTAACAAAGTAAGATTTTTATAAATAAATTAATGACAAAAAAAACCCTCCTTATTTTTATCTTAAAACACGCTAAATAACGATAAATATTTCTACTAATTTTTGACTGCTTAAAGGGGAACACCGTTTTTTTTCCATTGGCCCCTTGATTTCCCGTTATTCCATCATGTTCTACTCACCCATCTGAGTTTAGTGACATCTGGAGCCGTTCTGAAGATATTCCGTTAGGTTCTATTCAGTAACGTCTTCCTATGAGCAACGACTTGAAGGCACAAACTGAACTGTTCATCATTTATTCTTTATGGTACGCCATCATTCAGAACATCAAGGCCAATCACTGTCCCCCAGACATCCACCGTTATATTTTTTTATATTTATATCTTTTTAAAACAAAGCGGAGTGTGTATGACATCATCCGCGTGGCGGACTGGAGTTGTGACAGGCAGCCCGGGCCACAGGCGGCTACGCTCTGCCCCTTCTATTCATTCTAGCTAACCTGAATCGTTCAATTCCATCTGGAGAGCCAGATCATCTTCCAGGCATGTGAGGAAAACTAGCAGCAGTTCAGTGGACAGGATGAATGAATGGTAGCCGGCGCATGCTAATGACGTCACACACACGCCGCTTTGTTTTTAAAAATTATAAAAAATTCATAAGTGATTATATTATAAATAAAAATCTAACGGCGGATGTCTGGGGGACAGTGATTGGCCTCCATGTTCTGAATGCTGGCGTACCATAAAGAATAAATGATGAACAGTTCAGTTTGTGCCTTCAAGTCGTTGCCCATAGGAAGACGTTACTTGTAAAATCTCGTAATTTGTCGTAAAATCAAGGGCCCAATGTAAAAAAAAAAAAAAAAAACGGTTTTCCCCTTTAGCTTTACAAACAGCGTCCCATAGCTTAGCAGGGAGGGATGGCTGCTTATTTATTAGCAGTGTGTTCTTTGGGAACAGGTTTGTGTAGTTTTTACAGCTCTTACAATAATATATGAACTGATTTGATGGATCATGAATCTATGGGATTTTTTTTTCTCTCCGACTAAAATGTTTCCAGTGTGAAAGGAAACCTACACTTTATCCTGACAGCTTTTAAAACAATCGAAATAAAATGAAAGTCTTTGCAATTGGCTTGCAGAAACAAGACTCTCCAGATGCAGAAGATCAAGTCTCGTTTAAAGATGGAGTTTGAGGCTCTGGAGTCTGAGGAGAAGCATTTAAAAGAATACAAACAAGAAATGGATCTCCTTCTGCAAGAGAAAATGGCCCATGTTGAAGAGCTGCGCCTCATCCATGCAGATATTAATGTGGTGAGTTTATTAAATGTCCTAAATGCACTTTGCACAACTAAGAATATATGCAGGTGTTTTTCAATTAAACTTGGACATACAAAAACGTATTAATTGTTTTTGAATAATCATTTGATGTCAGTCAAAAGACTCTTATCTGGCTTTTACTATATCATTTATAACGTTTTTTTCCTCGCTCTGAACTAAACTGTTTCTAAATTTCGTGAGCTGAAATGTCTGTATTAACATTGAGCTGTGAATTTAGATGGAAAGCACCATAAAGCAGTCTGAGAACGACCTGAATAAACTGCTTGAAACAACTCGCCGTCTCCATGATGAGTACAAGCCTCTAAAGGAGCACGTCGATGCACTCAGGATGACTCTAGGTCTGCACAGACTCCCAAACTTGAACGAAGAGGAGGAGAAGCTCTCTCTGGAGTAAGTATCTGAACACGCTGAACACAACACTGCAGAAATGCCACCTGCTCTGCTCACATTTACAAAATAAAGAATAACCGGTTCAATCAGAGCAAACCTTTCCATATTTATTCACATTATGACTGCAAACCTTATTCTGTTTTCTAAAAAAACATAAATAAAAGCATGTTTGTAATTATGTGAAGTGATCCATCATTTAAAAAAATACAAATATAAAAAAATAAGGTGTACTGTTGTAAATAACATCCATCCACTCAGTAATTTGTAGAACAATCTTTTACCTCAGAAACAGACATTTTTAATTATATGCTGTTACTTTAAACAGAATTTAACACTGAAATAAAATGTTGTTTTTATCAATCTATGTTATACATTTAATTTTTAAATAAAAAAATAGAAACTTTTTCCATTTTAAAATCTAAAGTGTTTTTCAAGTAGAGAACAACAATCGTT